AAATTAACATAATATAATTATTTATTGAATTTCAGTGTATAATTAACACATCGAAAAATTACATATTATTTTACGCACAATTTAAATTAACATTTAAATTATATTAACGTTTATAACATCCAAATAAATTACACCAAAATGAAAACAATTAAAAAATTAAACAGGGTCGGCCAAACGATCTTGATAATATAAAAAAATTATAAAACATAAAAATGGTAAATAACATTATCAATTTAGAAAAACAGAAAAAAATAAATGACAAAACATAATTATTTATACCATATGATAAAACGAAAAAAAATATAAAACGATAATTTATATCAAACACAATGTTGTTTTTAAATTACTATAAAATACAACAATATTATATTATTTGTGTTGATTTAATTGTACATTAAAATTATTTAATTTTATGATTCATCTGTAAATAATACAAATTTACAGCAGCTACTCTTATATTTGTATATTTTCAATTCAATGAGTAATTATTATTTTGACTGATCATTATCAAATATCGAATAATCGTTGTTATCTATAAGATAATTTAAAAATAAGTTTTACTGTTTTTTAAAAGTAATGTGGTTTATTTTATTCAAAAAACATTGTTTGTTTTGTATTATTAAAAATAATAATAATAAAAATACAAATACTACAATTTGATTGATTTATTGACATATTATTTAAAAAGAAACGTAAATAAACAAATCAAAACATATGTTAATATTTTATATTCACCCATGTTTTTGAAAAAAACATATTAATTGTAAAAATATCAAATTATAAGTCATAATCACTTAAGTTATCTATTATAATTTTTGTAAAATGGAATTATCTTCTGTCTTAACAAGTATTATAAATGGTGAATATTGTTATTTAATTTAAATAACTTTGTAACACAATATTTCACGTGCTTTTTACTTTCAAACATTGTTTTTAAAAACTAAAATTTTACACAATATGATAATAATTTGATCACACAAAAAAAATTGTTTAAATCGCTAACTATAGTTTTAACAATATTTTAAAAACATTTTTACTTTAAAAAACTTTTAAAATTTTTTGTTGACAATATGCTAAAACTAAAAATGAACTGACACGTATTAGAGATTGCCACGGAGTTGTTTAAAAACTGGATCTTGGCCGACCCTGAAAAAAACTGTTTTTTCCCGAAATTTTAATATAAAAACATATAAAAATAGTTCTTTATCGAGCGGTAATTAATTTTAATTGGCTAAAAATCCCACTCGATAAAGGTGTTATTAGATTGAGGTTTGACTGTAATTGCTAGGCAACAAAAAGAATAGTGATAATATAAATACAGCAAACAGAACGTTGATATTATTTAAAACGCCATATATTTGTAATATTTATTACGTATTGTAAACACCTTAGGAGAGCTTACTCATTAACGACATTTGAGTAAGCAGAATTATTTATTTTTAGAATAATAATTTTTTTCAATTACCACTTTAATAATTAATTAAAGTGTTAATTAATTATTAATTAACACACTTCAATAACATTGAACAAAATTCAAGGGGTCTAAAAATCGGGCAAATGTCGAGTTTTTTAAATAAATTTCCGTTTTTTTAGAGTTTGTTTTATGTGCATTAACTATACACAAGCCAAAATAGGAAAATCATCAAAAATTTGATTAATATCCCAGGCCAAAACAAAAAAGGGCGTTATTTTAAGTGTTACAATCTTTCAACATTGTTTCACCAAATAATTCACTTTTTTCTTATGTGACATAACAACAAAGTAACAAAAAATATTAGGTTTATGATTTTTACTTTCTAAATTTGTGGTATGTCTTAATTGTACAATCATCATCATATGGAGAATAAACAATTTCAAAGTGTCTGTTGAACCTTTCAAAAACATTCGACAATGATAATAAATTGAATAATTCTTCGAAATCTACTCTGTTTAAATTTACCAATTAAAGAAAAATTATTGTCACTATATTGTCAGTAAAATTCACTTTTTCTTCACTTTCGACAATTTTATTTTCAATTTCATCATTATCATTGAAAAATTCAAGTTATTCCATTAATCAACACAACCTCATTTTTTTCTAAAATGTTCACCAAATTAATTTTTGTTGGTTTTTTGACTAAAATTTACTCGTTAAAAAATGACTCATTCCAATTGAAACTTTATTGTTTTCATTAACTTCCATTTTTAAATCACCATTACCACCAACTAAATCAAATAATAATTGTGTATTTGAATTGTAATAAGATTTGAGACCAACAACTTCTTTTTGTTTGTTGAAAGATTCGACCGTTTCTTTTTGAACTTTGTTTCTTTTTTTGGCCTTACCATTTTTTTTGTTTTGTTTCAGTGTTAATAGAGGTTGAGTTGCGCCCAATTGTTGATTTCTTTGATCTTTCGTTGTCAATCATTATGTGTTTAATGTATTTGTTTTTTATTGTTTTTTATTCGTTTTTTTGTTTGTTTTTATTTAAACACACGTCTAGTATATTTTTCTGTTCATCAAATCATGTTAGTACATTTGTTGGAGTCATCGTGTCTCTTTTTGAATTTTAAGTAATTGTATATTTTTTTGTTAATATTAA